GATGAGTTTTTCTCATTCGTTTCGTCTCATTTCACTTCACAGTTAGAATCATTTTCTTATTCTGTAGCATATACTATCTATTGGATGCGTTGACGAGTGTTGACAGCCGAAATCAACAATACAGCAATCGAATATTGTTGCTCAGTAACGTTCGACTGTCAAACAAGCAATTATAAAGTGTATTCGATAGAATGAGAATTTAACTTTAACTGTTGAATAAAATGAATGAGAAATTAGCAGAAGAGAACACTTTTGGTGATAAAAGCTATGAGAGCGATTACAGCAGTAAGGAAAAGAATGAAAACCCTGTAAAAACGAATGAAAACCATGTTAGACCCGGACGAGCTCATCTCAGAATATAGAAAAGTGACGAGTGTTGCCATCAACTAACCGCATTTACATACCCGAGTTAAAAAACACCATCACAATTCTATCACAAAATAACAACTGCACAAAATCCTAATTTCCCGACCTCCTCCATTACCATCCAAATTACCCAAAATGAGCAATTTCATCCCCTATGAGAACAACTGATTTAATGTGTAACTTCATGCTTAGAATATGAGATATTTCACTCGTTTAATCGCTGTGTAAGTTTCGTATGAGCTGCTGATCTTCGGGACTTTGAATCAGAATCACATTCTGAATTGAAGCATTTTACTGTTCGACCACGTGCTACACACCAGTCTAGTTGTTATATTGCACTTTGACAAACCAAAATCAACGTTTTGCGAATTGGGGAATCCCCAAAACTCAAAACGACCTTGATAACTCACAAAACACGTTTGAAATTAGCCAAAACACGCCCACATATGGCGCATTAATGACGGTACATCATGATCGGATCCATATTAAACTATGCAGATTAAGCATGTTGTTCATTTGATAAACCATATGATCATCTATTGGTTATGGTCTTTCGCGTATTGTTTCTCCGAAAAACAGGCACGAGTTTGCATGCGATAATCATTTATATGTGATATGTCGTATGTTGACATCGTCATAATGTATAATAAAGAATGAAATCAACAAGGATTATTATTGGTGGGCATTATTCCGAAAATAATAGTCCGTAAACACAGATTATCAACAGAAATTCCTCAAAGAAATAGTGATGCTAAGCTGTCAAGTACTTCGTCAACACAATTACCATTTATACAGTCTATAGGGCATGATTTTGATTTGCATATTATTTGTTTTTCACACCCATTTCATGCGAATTGTATTTCAATTATTAATGAATTCATGATCTCTAGTTTTATCAGATCTATAGGCAATTTACTTCCATTTAAAGTCCGTAAAGTATTTTCAAGTTTTATGTTGAATGCTTAATGCACTTTATATGATCTCCTTTCATGATGTGTGATCAAATGTTATTCAATCGTTTTCTCATTAATATGATGAACTTGGAACAAAAAATCGGTAACTTCGTTAAATTCTTGACTGCTTAACCCATGCAACACGAATATGCTGTCCTATTAAGGACCATTAAACACAAAATATATTGCAAAAACATCGTTGAATTGTACTGATCACAATTGATGAGCATCACCTCTCTTCTTCTTGAAGAATGCAAAAGTGAGAGAGGAAAATATTTTGTAAATTGTGAAATCGAGTTATGAAATGATGAATTAATAACTAACGATGACGTGACAGTGGTTAAATTTAGTGCAGAAAGAAGAAGTAAACTGCCCACCTTGAAAATTTTCGACATCTTCGGTTTCTTCATGCTCGTGAATTGCATCATTAAAAGACGTTTTGCCATTTGATTGCTCAATCTGAAAGTAAAACATTTACTGCACAGTCACAGCAAAGTAACTTTTGCAACGAGGAGATTCGTAAATGCCGAGCGAGCAGTTCACTATATCGAAACATTGTTATTAGTTTAAACGTCGGTGAGCATTTTGTGAAAATGACTCGGCCAAACGATTTTCCGTAAACATCCACGAATAATATGTGGATTCTTCATCAGACATGACAAATGAGTTAATTTCAATCTTATGATCCAGCTTTATACATCTCCATAAACGTTTTTGTCATGCATAACGAACGGAAACAGAGATGTTGATGCGATTCGGAGTTCATATCCCAAAAAAAAACTTGATTAAGCGAGAATCGAATAAAACCACACGGATGAACATATCACCACAAACACCTCTTCAGCAGAAACACTCTGGTCCAGTCCAGCCGCATCCAATATCACTTCGTGATCGCCTTCTTTAGCATCACATTTATCTGCAGAATCACTATTCGGTTGAGAGCAAGCATCCGAGCGCTGTTCGGCATCGTTTTCCATCGTAGTTTTCATGACTTCCTGTAACGAGAACGGATTCAAAGTAATACTTACTTGAAAATAAAAAAGCGCTTTATGCAGCTTAGAATGGCATTTGAACAGACTGAATGAAGCGAAAAAAGACGAGAAAAGCGCTCGCTTAAGAAACTGGAATGTGAAAAAACGATATGAAAAGGTCAATCACCACCGAATTTATAGACAATTTCAGCTGATATGTTATCGGGCAAGATTCTCTGGTGAGAACATGTAATTGAGAATAGTCAATATGACATCACTGATTTGTACAAAACACAAGTTTACATGAGCGAAAAAATGAAGATTCCACAGAAACAAGTTCTATTAATCGATAAAGACGAAAGAAATTTTTGCATATTTCTTTCAGATTTCATTTGATTTGCTATTGTTCCTGGCGAAATATTTTTTTGAGGTTTCTGTTTGCATCACGAACATTCTTCAATTTTATGATAATGATTCGAAAACGGAAATCTGACCATTTAAGTTGACAAATCATTTGGATACGACCGTTACTGGTGATTCTGATCAAAGTATAATCACTCGTGTATATCAAGAATGAATTAAAACGTTCGCGTTCCATTCTGATATTACCGCTCAGCTGCATCACATAATTTAAGGACGTGATCCAAGAAAGTGACGAATTCTAAGCGAACTCCCTCAGTCTCAACGCTTTTAAAAAATATCCACCAACAACAATATCTTTTGGACCTATTCGGCCGTTTACTCTCGGTAAGTGCGCAATTTGTTTAGATTTAAAAATGAAACGGCTGATCAGTCTAGTGATACGTTCAGTTTCATATGAATTCATCAGACACCAAACAGATGTCGCATGGATCAACTATGAACCGGTTTTATGCTTGATTATGTAAAAAGCAGCAGAGAGTTTCGATTACCTTGACCTATTCACTGATACCAAACAATATTGTCAAATATAATTTCAACAACTCTGCACGTTACAGATATCCAGAGGTAAACCGACTTGCCGATTTTCGTTCGTCAAAAGCAGAACTAATAATACTAATAATATTAGTACAGTTATTATGGTTGCCCAGTACATTGTTTAATATCACCACAAACACGCTGATATTCTAGCAATGAACTGAACGAGATAGTCCACCAAAATTACGATGAAACGAGCAAAACATAAAGAAAAACGTTCTCTGATGGAGTTATCAGACGAAGTTATAAATTCTCTGATGGAGTTATCACATGAAACTATACTGACAATGGAGCCGAGCATCTGATTGTGAGCAAACTAGCTTGTATTTTGCTGTCATAATTGGCTTATCGTATCGTGCTTTTAGTCCATTTCTGTGCTATTTGAGTTTGCACATCTAATTAGTGAAATGCGCATTCTTTCAGCTATGAAGACCATTCTTGTCAATCACTTCACACATTCGAGCTTTTTTTTCGACTGCGATGGATCAACTATGAAGACAACCATCGATAAGAATTGACCGATGCAATTTCTCAGCGTCTACAATGAAGACAACTACCACAAAAATCCTTGGCTGATAGATATATTAAGGGTGACAGACTATTAGGACATCATAATAACTTCTCTTGCATGAAGCCAAACAGGTTCAAGCCAAATATCAGCACGATGGCAGCTAATAACTGCAGAAATGCAAATCGTCGTCGGAACAATGGTATCTAGCATGTGTTGATCATGGTCGCCCTGTCATCACTATGATCAAAACTGTTGATCAAAAGAGCAAAGAACGCTGCCTGCGTGAATGATCGGTTAACAGAAATGCGGAATGTTGATGATTGATGAGTGTCATAATCCTTCAAGCACGCAATGTTTGCAGTAAAACATTCTGCGCAACACAACTTTACTTTATGCGTATTTGTTCGGTCAATTCCTATCGAGATTACGCCAAAAATAATGCCTTTTATGAAAACTTATTTGACTGCTAAAACAATATCCAAGAGCAAACTACTCCGAATACTAAAATTGTAATCGCACATACTGAATACCATCACAAACACTAAACAACTAATTGTGATTATATTCTATTTTGAGGAATTGTGAAATTTTTACAGAACGATTTCAATTTGTTGAAAATCTTCAAATTGAATTCCACATTAGCCACTTGCTAACTAACGATCAATTGGAACTGAGTAACACGCTTGAATAGCAGCATTTCCCCATTATCCTCGTAAAAATTGTTGAGGAACTTCTCAAAGCTAAGTTGATCACATGGTATCGAGCGCATAGCTATTTCGCAAGACGAATTCGTTCCTTTCAAAGAACATCACATTTTTGACAGTGATGAAATTGCTTGTTTAGTCGTTTGCTCGATGGCACTTAGCATGAAATTCTTTTGTGATTCAATGCGCGCTCGGTGCAAACATGATTCTGTGCGTGTTGTAAGAATAATATCTCTGCAGAGATCTGTTCGAATTCAAATGTCTCGCAGCTGCATTCAACAATTAATCCATCAACAAATTCGTTCCACACCATTATCAGCTTATTGTTAGCAGTTAGCAGTTTATATTGGAATATTGAAAAAATGTAAAATTTGCATATTGTACGGAGTTAATAAAAGTGGTAAGTGGCGAATGCTGAGTTATTTGGTCATTGTACGAAGGCTCGGGGTGGTTTTTGGGTAAATTTTAACGAAGAAGAAGAAGAGCGATATGTCGTCAGAAGACGAGGATCCATGTCCAAGTTTTCTTTGGTATTTTGTTGCTAGTTTTGGATATACGATACTCATTCTGGTCATTCTGCTCGCTTACATCATCATGTATTCGTCACATTTCATGTGGGCCTTAAGAAAGCAAAAGGGAGCTGCGAGTAAGGTGCGATGTGTTCATCGTTTTGAGCATTTCATTTGTTCGATATGAAACTATCAGAATAATTCATTAAGACCATATCAATGTCCTTCTGCAATTGTTTGGTGGCAGCACACTCTGCCATCATTCTTTCCTGTTTCACATTCCACTGAACCAGCAATATTGCAGTGTCCAGAGAACTGTTTCATAAATTTAAATTTATTAATTGTTTCCTTTCTTGAGTGTTTTCAATGATGCTTTATTGAATGCTCGTCTAACCTAAATGGTATAAAGACAGAAATGAAGCAGTAATGAATGAATTTGATCATGCAGACCACGAAGACCACGACGAGGACGAGTCAATCAAAAAGTAAAAGTGCGGAAAAAACTGATGAAAGCAATGAGAAGAAAAGTGGTAGCAAAGAAAAAGTATCGAATGACACTAATGAGCCCAAAGAGTCAGGTGAGAATTTATTGCCGCATTTTGCGGTTCACGATACCGTTCGAATGTCATCTATGCACAATTTCTGCATGAACAGATATGAGCAAAAAGATGGAAGCTGGCGTAATAATGACAGAAATCAATGGGACTAATCAGGCTAAATCAATGGATTTAATCTGCACCCTCAGGCTTGGCTAACAACTAAGCAACAGTTCATGCCCTGCAGATAACTAAGTATTGATAATGCTGACCTAGCGAACCTCAATAATAATATTTTCAAGATATCATTACGGCGATATGAATATCATTCTGATGATGGCACTTGTTGTGAAATTGAAAGAATTTCAGAAGACCAGAAGTAAAGCAGATGTAAAACGTTGGAGGTGCAGCGATCGGTGGTGTGCACTCGCAAGTGTTTCTGTTCATGAATTGCAAATAACAACATGCCATGAAACGTTCATCTTCGCATATCAACAATACCGATCGTTTAGAGTAATCGTCTTTTACACTCTCTTCATCACAATCATTTTCTTTTGTGCTGCTGCTGAATGTTTTGTTTATTCATTTTCTGATTTGAATAAATTTCTGCCATTTGGTTGTTTTTGTTCCAAGTTCGTGATAAAGCAAGTGACGAGGTTTGAGCTGATTCAAAGAAGCTGCATCTGTCACCTTGTGTTTGGCTGATTTTGTTCGCTTAATGGGATTTGTTTCGATGTTCACGAGAAGGATGGAGGTTCGTGATTGATCGTCACTTCACGATTTTGATCACGAGAAGGGTCAAATCTGTTCTTGATGGGAAATGCGGAGAAGATACCGAACTAAATCTCGATCACTCCCTGTGAAAGCAAGATTTGGATCAGATTTCCCAACAAATTGCTTATGAAGCATAAAAACAGGACGTCAAGAGCATCTAGTCGTAGTGAAGGATGTCTCATCATGCAACTGCTATTCTATAGCAGCTTTGATG